ACCTACCTACCTACCTACCTACCTACCTTTTTACCACAACATACACAAAATTTTCCAGTACCCGGGATTCGAACTCAAGTCAGCTAGATCGTTAATCTGTTCCGCCAACCATTAGGCTACTGAGTATTGCGCAAGAAGTTATGAAAATTTAATAGAATACAAAAAGAAAAAAAAAATAATATTTTTTTTTAAATTTAATTTAAGTTTGTTATTTTTTTTTATAAATTAACAATCTTAAATGAAGTAAAGACGAAACGGGTTTAAGCTTTATAACACTTGTATTTACAATTATAGCCGATAGATGGCCTGAAATTCAAAATAAAAGGGCGACGTAAGAAAAAAAAAAAAAAAGCGAAAATTCCATTTGTAAAGATTATTATATGCTATAAATCGATAATATTAACAATAATTTTACATGTCTTACATAGACACGATACATTAAAGTGTATTTTAATGTTATGTTACTTGTTATAAACTATTTAACAACAGAGGGAGCTTATTAGAATTTTGTAAAATATTTTATAACACGACGTAGCGTGGTAAACTTGACGATTGAAATGTTGAAAATGAAAATGAAAAACCAGCCACAGTGATGCGACAAGAAAAAAAAATCATCTTAAATGATAAGCGCGCATGACAACTTTGACACTAGTCAACTCCACGGACCATGCTTGTTAGCCACTCAAAACCACATTCCGTATACTCGTTCGTCACTGAGCGATATTTTGCTGTCAAATGAACTCTCATTTCGACCTTAGTATTTCACAACTATCACTATAACTCTTACAGTAAAATATATATATATATATATATATATATATATATATATATATATATATATATATATATATATATATATATATATATATATATACTTACACATACATTTCCACCCCCACTAATATACCCCTTACAGCTATTCTTATAAAAATTAGCCTTTCTCCTTTCTCAGGCTCTAAACTAACTGTGTAACAAATTTCATTTATTATGTTTCAGTATTTTTTTTTTACGTGAATGCAAGCAGACAGATAGAGTTACTTTTGCATTTATAATCTTAAGTAAGGATAACGTAAGGATATTAGTAAAGATTACTGTTTTTGATGTCTAAATTGTCAGGATTTCAAAGAAAGATCATCATTATCAACTCACTATACGTCGCCGCCGATAGGTTCGGAGTTAGGGGTGACTAGGCCGTAATCAACTACGCTGGTCCAGTGCAGGATGATTGACTTCAAAGAAAGATATCAGAAGATTTGGAGACGATATCGAGGAATGATATTGCCTCCAAATTTTCTGATTTACTTAACAATGTAATAATAGACAATTAAATTATAAAGAATCTTTATTATCACAAAAAATGGCACATAGAGACGCTCGACTCAAACATCCTCGGGTTCGGCAGGTTGCGAGGGCGCGGCGGGCGCGGCGGGCGCGGCAGACGGGGTGCGCAGCACATCTTCGCGCTCAAGGCGCGGGTAAGAGGGCTGGCTGAGCACGCCGCACGTGTTGCCGCGCGCCTGCACGCGCACGTAGCCGCCCTCGCCCCACGCTGTCGACCACGAGTTCTTGAGGATGAAGTGCGGCTCACCGCGCTTCTCGCCCCAACCCACTGCCAGCACCGCGTGGTTCAGCGGTCGCCGCGACTTCCCGCTGCATGATACAACACACGTGTTTTTTCTTCATCAAGTTGTAACTCACAATTTGTACAACTTTAGAAGTTAATAACTTAATATAAGAAAGAAAAAAAAAATAATAATAATCACTCTGAAAATTAAAGCTTTCTGTTATTTTAGTAAAATCGCAAAGCAGCTACCGCTCTGCTGGTTTGGGTAGCTCTGGCGGCAATATCGTGACCCTTGATGGAAATCATAAGTATTTATGATCGACAAGGCGTCAACATCAACGTGTACATACCAGCGGTCGTCGTACAGCACTCCCTTGGAGTACGTGGTGAAGCTCTTGGCGGTCGCGTCGACGATCACGACTGTGGGCGCGTGCCGCCGGATCGCCACCTGTCACATGTCACAAAGGTCTTAATGAGTCTCGCACGTACGTGCGTGTGTACTCGTACACCGAACGGAACAGCAAATTAAAAGGATCGAAAAGTAAGCATCGATATTTCCGTTTTAATATAAATTGGATTGGAACGGATACGGGTACGGTTACGGGTACGGGTACGGGTACGGGTACGTGTACGGGTACGGGTACGGGTACGGGTACGGGTACGGGTACGGGTACCGGTACGAGTACGAATTAATTAGCAGATTATCCATTAAGAAGAATAGGAACCTCTTGTTAGAATTTGATTCTCTTAATTATTTTCAAAGTGCAATTTGGAAGTTGAAACAATAGGTACCTTGAGAGCGGGAACACTGTTGACGGTGACGTTGACGTGCCCGCTGATGCGCGTGACGGGCTCCTGGCGGGCACAAGTGTCCACCTACAACAACGACGACGCGGACCATTACAACGTGCTCGCCCGTGGCACTTCACCACCACTCACCACCGCCACTCTCACTCGAGGAGCCTCACCTTAGGCTCGTACGGCGTGAACTCGTCGAGGGCGGGCAGGCCGCGGTCGCGGATGTAATCGTAGGCGCGGCTGGGCCACGTGCCCCCGCAACCGTTAGCTCCGTGTCTGTTTAGTTAAACAAACAAACATAATTAGCGACCGAACAATAAGACCGATAAAAGTATGTATGTCCCGTCTCGTATGGAGGTTGACGTTCCGCCCACCTGACCGTCAAAGGTGTCGCAGAAAGGATGAAGCTTAGACTAATATTCTAGAAAGTCACGACTCAGTTTTTATCGCTGCGACACTTCGACACACTATAGATATTTTTTATCATAATAATAAAAGAGTGAGGTACGGTAGAAAACACAGGATAGGACGGGAAGGAAGTCCTTCCAGGACGGCACTAAGGGAAGTAAATGTCAGTGGGGAAGGGGCACTGACGTGTGCGCGCAGTCGACGAGGCATTTCTCGCTGAGAGGCACGAGGCGGCGCGTGCGCAGGAACAGCGCGCCCTCCACCGCGCCCGTCACCGCGAACGCCCAGCACGACATGCACTGTCCCTGGTCTGTCGACAACGTCACACGGATGTTTAACTAACCCTAACCCTAGAGCCTCGACATCGCAGTTGACTATTATCTTATTTCACTATTCATTGAGTAGTTTTATTTTTATTTTTTCATATGCATAATTATAAGCTTTTATAATAGACTGTAACTTTGAACTCTGACGAATTTTTCAATTCTCTAAAATATAACGGAATCGTAAAAAATTTGTACAACTAGTATGATTGGGCAATGTGTTTACATCGGACGGGCGTGACGGCGCCGCGCGGTCGCCAGTCAAAGTTTCTGGGCAGCGCGTCCTCGGCGGCGGCGAGCTGGCGGCGCGGGTGCGGGAAGCGCTCGGCGCGGCGCAGCTCGGGCGCCGGCTGCACGCCGCGCAGCTCCGCCAGCTCCGCGTCCAGACGGTCGCACAGGAAGTTGACGCCGAGCTGCGCTGTGGCGCCTTGCCGGTTGCCCGACGACACGAACCGGTGGCTCTGCACGAGGAGGTTCTTGCGCACCGCCTCCTCCGCGCCGTCCGCGTACCTCCTCTCGTTCTCGCGCACAAACCTACCGCAAGCGAGTGCCGCTTATAGTTTTGAGATGAGGAATACTAGTTGCAACAACTACAAGTTCGACCTGGACGCAGGTGTATTATTCGTGCGTAAACAGATCAGAACTGACTCTAAGCAAGAAGTGCAACCGCGATGGATACCATTTGGAAAGCCGTCACCGATTGACGTCAAATTCTTTTTGACTTCTCAAGTCTTATTACGGATGAATGAGCAGTTATCTTAATAAAGATGGATATAAAGTAGAGTGGTGCTGACTCGGTGAACTTGAGGTCGTAGCGAGGGTCGCGTCGCGGGAGCGTGAACTCGCGCAGCGGGTCGAGACGCGCGCGCGGATCAGGCGCGCTGGCGTTCACGTACTCCACCTGGTCGCACGCCTCGTCTGCACACACATAAACACCTGGCCGTCACATCTATTGCACATTGTAGACCTGTCGGTGACTAGTTTTTCTCTCACCAAACGAGTAAACCTCGACATTTCAAAAGAAACGATACTTGCCCAAATCTAAATTGAATATACTGGGCATGTGCTGCTGCTCGGTGACCTCGATGTACTGGTGGTGGTAGCCGTCACAGTCGGGCCCCAGCAGCGAGCTGTTCACCGACACCGTGTACCTGCCAAAAGAAACCCGTCGTCGGCGCAAAACTATAAAAGCCGTCTGTCCACATCCGATCGATGGTTTGTTAACTTTATTTTTACATCGTCAAAATTGTTCTTTTCTAACGCAGAACGCCATCTTCTTTACCCGCTAAGATGCCAAGATTAAGAAGACGCGTTTAAGTGAGTAAAAAAAAAAAGAAATAAAAATGGGAATAAATATTCACCCATGATCAGATATATGTATGATAAAATATACAAGAATTTAAATATTTCGCTGAAGTCTAGCTAGCTTGATACCGTCCACCATCAGGAGACGAGAGACGAGTGCGAGACGAGTACGTACGAGAGCGGCACGAGGCGGTCGCCGTCGCGCGCCAGCACCAGGTCGTGTCGTGCGGTGAGCGCCTCGCTCCGTGCGCCTCCCGCCTCCCCGGCGCGTCCTGCCACCACGCGTTGCCAAAGCTCCGCTACGCCACCGCCTTCGCCGCGGCCGCTCTCCACGTACCCTGTGCAAGAAAAACACATGTACGAGGAAAGAAAACGCCTCACGTGCAGGGAACGAATGGAATAGACAAGACGGCGAGGAACGCAGGCACGGAAGGGAAACGATTTTCATATAACGCCCGAATAAGGTAAACGTCTATCTGCATTCCTCTACGTCGCCGCAATAAGCTCGATGAAATTACATCTTCTTAATATTTTGAATGTCGGGGAAAGGACCCACCCGAGAACACGAACTGGTCCAACTCGGCGGGCAGCACGGGCAACGTGCGGTCCTCTGGCGCGGCGCGTTCGGCCGAGCCCACGGCGCAACGGCGCAGCGGCCGCTCACCGCTGCGGTCCACGTGCGTCTGGAGACCAAATGCGAGATGGCGTAATCGTATTTGAACGACAGGAAGTTAACTTGCAACAAAGTTCTATCTAGCATAATCGTTAATAGAAAATCCGATATGAATGTTTCAGGCATAGACAGTTGCCAAGATTGATGAGATCCACCGGAAGAGTTTCTCGTGGACACGAAAGTTATGTCTCTGTCAGAGAGTTGCGTCGATGAACCCGAACTGTAACCGAACGACGCAATTTTATATATGTTGAAAGCATTTTCATATGGAGGTTACCTCAACGCGGTAGACGTTGCTGTCGGCTATGGTGCGGAATGTTGATGCGGCGCCGCCGTGGTGGTCCACGCGCGCGTCGCCGCTCTGCGCGTCCCACCTGCACACGTGCACACATGTCGCTTTACATTCTCACATCTACACCTCCATCAATAACAGTGGTAGAGCCCGCTTTAACATATTCGCACTAATTGGCCCGGCTCGCTCGGTGAAATACCACGACCACACAGAAGACAGGCGTCAAGTGGAAGCAATTCCGCGTTTCGTCTGATGAGTGTGCGTCCCGGAGGCCTAATTTAGTCCTCTTTCCCTTCCCACCCTTTTCCTTATAAGAAAAGGATGGGAAGTGGAAATGGACTTTTCGGACGAGAGGATGCATGGGAAGGGAAAATATTTTCTTTCTGTGCATCCTCTCCTCCGTCGATTAAAGGTAGGCAACGCGTATGCAATTGCGTATGTGTATGAGCAACGGTTACTTCGCTATTTCAGCGATTTCAGGTGGCCGCTCGCTCGTTTGCCGCCTTATGATATATTATAATATAAAAATAAAAAAAAAAAAAAAAAAAAA